AGAAGAAGGGTCCTGACCCGAAACGTCAGCTTTCCTGCTCCTCTGATGCTGCCTGGCCTGCTGTGTTCATCCAGCTTTACACCTTGGTATCCAGGGTGAATCCTAAACTATTTTATACATACATTAAAGGAAAGAGATTAACCAAGAAAAGAATAGGGCCCATTAGGGGCAACCAATGTGTGAAGCTACTGGATATTGGAAGGAAATTAAATGAATACTTCTCTTCAGTGTCCACTCTGGAAAGGGGGTACATAGGTATGGAATTCAGGAAATGGGACTGCGAGGAACTTGCATAAATTGACATAGGAAGTGGGGAGATATTGGTGACTTTGTTGGGCTTAAAAATGGACAAGTCCCCTGACCTGGATAAATTGCATTCCAGGCGGCTGTGGGAGGAAAGGCTTTGACACAAGTTCCTCTCTGGCCAAAGGGGAATGTGCTAGGAGACTGGAGGACGGCTAGTGTGGTTCCACTTTTCAAGAAGGTGTTAGAGATTAACCAGGAAATTAAGACCATTGAGTCTCACATCAGTGGTGGGGAAACTACTGGAGAAAATTCTGAAGGAGAGAATTAGCATCTACATAGAAAGGCATGGTTAATTAAGGATAGCCAGCATGGCTTTATCGGAGGGAAGTCATGCCTAACAAATTTGTTTGAATTTTTCAAAAATGTGATCAAGTACATGGATGAGCGAAGTTCAGTTGATGTAGTTTATATGGATTTTAGGAAAGTTTTTGACAAGAATCCACATGGGAGACTGTTTGAGAAGGTTAAAGCACAATAAATTGAGGGCAACGTAGTGAGATGGATCAGAAACTGGCTCAGTAAGTTTGCATATTCTCCCCGTCTGCATGGATTTCCTCCGAGTGCACAAGTTTCCTCCCACAGTCCAAAGATGTGCAGGTTAGGTAGACTGGCCAGGCTAAATTACCAGGGATGTGCAGGCTAGGTGTGTTAGCCAAGGGGGATGCAGGGTTACAGGGATAGAGGAGGGGACAGGTTTGGGTGGGATGCTCTTTGGAGGGTTGGTGTGGACTGAAGGGCTAAATGGCCTGTTTTCATACTGTAAGGATTCTATGATTCTGAAAGGACACAAAGAGTAGTGGTAGAAGGCTGTTTGAGTCACTGGAGGCTGGTCTCCAGTGGTTTACCACAAGGATCAATAGTGGGACCCTATATACATAAATGATGTAGAGAAAAACGTGGTGGGGGGTGGGTGTTATGGGAATGTTAAGTAAATTTGCAGACGACACCAAGATTTGTAGGATGGTTAAAAGTGAAGAAGATGGTTGTAGGTTACAGGAAGATATAGACGGGTTGGTCAGATGGGTAGAACAGTGGCAGATGGTATTTAACCATGATAAGTGTGAGGTGATGCAATTTTGGAAGAAACAACAAGATGATGGAGTATTTAATGAATGGGAGGACACAAGGTAGCTTCGAGGAACAGAGGGTTCTTGGGGTAATTATTCACAGATCCCTGAATTTGGTGGAGCGTGTGAACACAATAGTTAAGAAGGCAGAGATAACAAGGTGTGGAGCTGGATGAACACAGCAGGCCAGGCAGCATCAGAGGAGCAGGAAAGCTGACATTTCGGGTCTTGGCCCTTCTTCAGAAAAAAAGGGTCTGGACAGGAAACATCAGCTTTCCTGCTCCTCTGATGCTGCCTGGCCTGCTGTGTTCATCCAGCTCCACACCTTGTTATCTCAGATTCCAGCATCAGCAGTTCCTACTATCTCTGAGTTAAGAAGGCATACAGGACACTTGGTTTCATCAATTGTGGCATAGAATATAAGAGCAAGGAGGGAATGTTGGAGTTGTACAGAGCATTGGTCAGGCCACAGCTGGAGTACTGCGTGCAGTTCTGGTCACCTCATTACAGAAAGGATGTGATAACACTAGAGGGGGTACAGGGGACGTTCACCAGGATGTTGCCTTGGATGGAGAAATTGAGCTACATGGCGAGACTAGATAGGTACGGATTGTTTTCTTTGGAGCAGAGAAGGCTGAGGTGTATAAGATTATGGGGGGTATGGAGAGGGTGAATAGAGAGCAGCTGTTCCCAATGGTTGGGGGGTCAATCACGAGGGGGCATAGTTTTAGGGTAAGGGGTCAGAGATTCAGAGGGGATTTGAGAAAATCATCTTTTTCACTCAGTCATTGGTGGGAATCTGGAATGCACTGCCTGGGAAGGTAGTGGGGGCCAAAAACATTACAACCTTTAAAAAAATATTTGGTTGAGCACTTGAAGTATCAGAACATTCAAAGATATGGAACAAGTGCAGGAAATTAGGATTAGCGCACCTTTAGTGGTAGCTAAATCAATGCAGACTCAATGGGCCGAACGGCCTGTTCTACACTTTATGATGATGAGTATGATAAGGAGGAGTTTCAGGAGGAAGGTGGGCTTGAAGGGAGGGGAGCAAAACACACTGAGATTCAGGGAGGTGTGGGCAGCAGAGACTTGGGGAATGCTGGGGTGGGTGGGGGTGTGGGCAGAGGCTGGAGCTGGCTGAGGGGTGGACGATAGAGTCTGTGGCTGGGGGATAGCAGGGGCTGAAGGAACCAGGTTACCTTGATCCTGTAAGGCATTCCTCCATTTTAGGCGTCCTGGAAATCTGGGTTCACAATATAACAGGTGTCTGCATCTACTGAAGTTGAGGGAGAGGCAGAATATTTAATAGTTTCATTGATTTCGAAAAAAATTTCAAAAAACATGAGACTCATATTGAGATCACAAATAAAAGCTGTCGAATACAAGAAATAGCACTTTTTAATTTATCACCACACTACCCCACAAACAGGAACACTTTTTGGAGCAACTGGATCTGAAGCACCTACACTCACACCGATTAAGAAATTAAGAAGTTATAAACTTACTAAAATCGCAACAAACAAACTTTCTGCTTAGGCACTTATACAATAGAATTATAGCATCAGGACCAATAACAGAAAGCATGGTTTACATTCTAGAACTCATTCATAAAATATGGACCAATTGATGCTTAGAAGCATCTTCCAGATGTTAATAGATATTTAGTTATCATTACAAATGAGTAATCTCGTCAATATATTCACATGATTTCATAAAGATCTATTCTTTTGTTCTATTTCTACTAATTATCACCCACTGTAACAATATCATATCATTGTATAATGTCATTGATGAACTTCACAGACAGTGTTGTTACTAACTACATTTAGATTCATTGCTTTTGCTTTCAAATAAAGCCAGAAAAGAAACTGCATAATTTTGCTTTTGTCATTCAGATTATATAATGTCTTGTGTGTGCTAGAACAACTGAAAGACTCTGGTGTCTTAAAAAGTTATGGCATTGGTCACTGCAATGAATATCATGTTCACACCATTCCACATTTTATTTCCTATGTTACAATAGTGACTATACTTCAAAGCACACTGTTAACTGGAAAGCTCTTTGGGACATCCAAAGATTGTGCACTCTAAAGGTGCAAGTCTTTAATTTTGTTTATAAAAGTAGAAATGTATACAATTAAAACACATATGACTTGAACGGTTCCAATACCAACAAGATCATAATTGATACTACACCTTTATACAGGAAGATCACAAATACATAGCTGGAACCAAAATCTTTTTGTTCCAAGTACATGCAGAGCAGGTTAATCCTTAAACAATAGGGGACTCAGGATTATCATTTCCGAGAGATACTATGATATATAAATTGAACCTCAAAGGAAATGAAACTATATTTATTGCATTGCAGACCTCAGTCTGCAATTACTATATCCGTCCCTCTGCTGATTCATGTTCCATCGATTTGCCTACTTAGACTGTCCAGGTTGTGGTGGTGTACTTTTCCTGGGTGCAATTTTCCAGTTCTTATTGTTAAAACTCAGTTCTATACAGTCACTGTTTTACTTTGTGCCAACAGCTTTGGTTATCCATAGGGTCTTAGCAGAATTAAAACAATGTGAAGGCAACCTTGGCAGTCTAAATGAGGGAATAGAACATGCTCTGTTAAGAGAAACAAAAGTGAAAATTCATCATTGATAAAAGAAGAAATTTAAGAATGTGACAAACAAAACACCACCACCACGCTGAGTGTTTCTTTAATAGTATTTGCTAAGTTAGCAGAATCACTGCTTTCCTGACACTAACATTCAAACAACTCAAGTACTTGAGTATCCCATAGTCCGTTGGTCTTAAGTTGAACTGCCATCATCCTGCTTTACTTTCCTCTGCTACACTCTCCCAGGGACAGATGACCTCATTCGCAGAGTCCTTGTAGGTATGATGACAATCTTCATCTTCGTCTTCAGAATCTATGGGGTAAATTCTGCAATTGGCTGGGATATCTACCTTGATTTGGAAAAAGCTGAGGAAACAGAATAAAATACGACAAACCATTTAAAACTTTTTTTTAAAGATCATGGTTGTTCTAGACATTTTTGTTATTTAACTTTAGGCCTTCAATTTTATTATTTGATCTCTTCGGCAAGTGCTAATTCATGCTGATAAACTGTTAAATGAGCACTGATGCCCTCCAATCACTGAACCAAGTCCATTCTTCATAGTTCAGTCAGATCATGGCAATGTATGTTGGTACAGTGCCAGCCTTGGGGATCACTGTTCAGACCATTTCTGTCCAACTCTATTCCTTTGCTCTCACTCTGAGGGAGGATTGCACTGCAAATCAAGTCTCATGACTTCATAATTTGTACCATAAGTGTAAACATTTTATTTAATCACCAAAATGGTGACTGAAATAACTGCACAGAGGCCAGTATCCCTTTATTTACTTGTGCACAGTTCAGTGGCTGTGACCAGCCAGCTCAGAGTCAGTCCCCTGAACTGAGGAGATTCTAATCTCCTGGTTATATTGGTCGGCCAGGGCTTCCTGATTGGCCCAGACTAACAGCCCCAATCAAGGATATCGTAGTCAACAAGATCCAGCTGGTTCCAATCACTACAGTTATAGAGACATAGAGTTGTACAACATCGAAACAGACCCTCCGGTCCAACTCATTCAGGCCGACCAGATATCCTAAATTAATCTAGTTCCATTTGCCAGCATTCGGCCCATATCCCTCTAAACACTTCCTATTCACATACCCATCCAGATGCCTTCTAAATGTTGTAATTGTACCAGCTTCCACCACTTCCTCTGGTAGCTCATTCCATATATGCACCGCCCTCTGCATGAAAAAGTTGCTCCTTAGGTCCCTTCTAAATCTTTCCCCTCTCACCTTAAACCTATGCCCTCTAGTCTTGGACTCCCCTACTCAGGGGAAAAGACCTTGGCTATTCACTCTATCTATGCCCCTCGTGATTTTATAAACTACTATAAGGTCACCTCCCTCAGCCTCTGACCTTCCAGGGAAAATAGCCCTAGCCTATTCAGCCTCTCCCTATAGCTCAAACCCTCTAACTCCAGCAACATCCTTGTAAATCTTTTCTGAGCGCTTTCAAGTTTCACAACATCCTTCTTATAAGAGGGAGATGAAAATTGCATGCAGTATTCCAATAGTGGTCTAACCAATGTCCTGTACCGCCGCAACATGAGCTCCCAAATCCTATACTCAATGCACTGACCAATAAAGGCAAGCGTACCAAACACCTTCTTCACTATTTTATCTAACTGCGACTCCACTTTCAAGGAACTATGACCCTGCATTCCTAGGTCTCTTTGCTCAGCAACACTTCCCAGGACCTTACCATTTAGTGTATTAGTCCTGCCCTGATTTGTCTTTCGAAAATGCAACACCTCTCATTTATCTAAATTAAACTCCATCTGCCGCTCCTCGACCTATTGGCCCATCTGATCAAGATCCTGTTGTACTCTGAGGTAACCCTCTTTGCTGTCCACTACACCTCCAATTTTAGTGTCATCTGCAAACTTACTAACCATACCTCCTATGTTCACATCCTAATCATTTATATAAATGACGAAAAGCAGTGGACACAGCACCAATCCTTGTGGCACATCGCTGGTCACAGGCCTCCAGTCTGAAAAGCAACCCTACACCACCACCCTCTGTCTTCTACCTTCGAGCCAGTTCTGTATCCAAATGCCTAATTCTCCCTGTATTCCATGTGATCTAACCTTGCTAACCAGTCTATCATGAAGAACCTTGTCAAATGCCTTACTGAAGTCTATATAGATCACATCCACCGTTTTGCCCACATCAATCCACTTCATCACTTCTGCAAAAAATTCAATCAAGTTTGTGAGACACGATTTCCCACGCGCAAAGCCATGTTGACTGCCCCTCATCCATCCTTGCCTTTCCAAATACATGTAAATCCTGTCCCTCAGGGCTGCCTCCAACAAACTGCCCACCACCGATGTCAGGCTCACTGGCCTATAGTTCCCTGGCTTTTCCTTACCACCTTTCTTAAATAATGGCACCACATTAGCCAACCTCCAGTGGTCCAACACCTCGTGTGTGGTTAACGATGATACAAATATCTCAGCAAGGGGCATGGCAATCACTTCCCTAGCTTTCCACAGAGTTCTAGGGTACACCTGATCCGATCCAGGGGATTTATCCACCTTTATGTGTTTTAAGATGTCCAGCACCTCCTTGTCTGTAATATGGACATTTTCCAAGATGTCGCTATTTTTTTCCTCATACTCTCTGTCCTCCATATCTTTCTCCACAGTAAACACGGATGCAAAATAATCATTTAGTATCTCCCCCATCTCCTGCAGGTCCACACATAGGTGGCCTTGCTGATCTTTAAGGGGCCCTATTCTCTCCCTAGTTACCCTTTTGTCCTTAATGTATTTGTAGAATCCCTTTGGATTCTCCTTAACCCTATTTGTCAAAGCTATCTCATGTCCCCTTTTTGCCCTCCTGAATTCCCTCTTAAGTATACTTCTACTGCCTTTATACTCTTCTAGGGAATCACTCGATTTCTGCTATCTATATCTGAGATATGTTTACTCCTTATTCTTGACCAAACCTCAACTTCTCTAGCCTTCTTCAGCATTTCCTACACCTACCAGCCTTGGCCTTCACCCTATCAGGAACATACTGTCTCTGAACTCTCATTATCTCATTTTTGAAGGCTTCCCATTTTCCAGCCATCCCTTCACTTGCGAACATCTGCCCCCAATCAACTTTTGAATGTTCTTGCCTAATACCGTCAATATTGGCCTTCCTCCAATTTAAAACATTAACTTTTATAAATCCAGTCTGTCCTTTTCCATCACTACTTTAAAACTAATAGAATAATGGTCACTGGCCCCAAAGTGCTCCCCCTACTAACACCTCAGTCACCTGCCCTGCCTTATTTCCCAAGGGAAAGTCATGTTTTACACCTTCTCTAGTAGGTACATCCACATACTGAATCAGAAAATGTTCTTGTCCACACTAAATAAATTCCTCTCCACCCAAGCCCTTAACACTATGGCAGTCCCAATCTATGTTTGGAAAGTTAAAATCCCCTACCATAACAACCCCATTATTCTTACAGACAACTGCGATTTCCTTGCAAATTTATTTCTCAATTTCCCGCTGACTATTGGGGATCTACAGTACAATCCCAATAAGGTGATCATCACTTTCTTATTTCTCAGTTCCACCCAAATAGATTCCCTGGACATAATCCCAGGAATATCCTCCCTAAATTCAGACGTAATGTTATCCCTAAACAAAAACACCACTCCCCATCCTCTCTTGCCCCTGTTCAATCCTTCCTATGGAATCCATACCCTGGAACATTAAGCTGCCAGTCCTGTCCATCCCTGAGCCACATCTCTGTAATCGCTGTGATATCCTAGTCCCATGCTCCTAACCATGCCCTGAGTTCAACTGCATTACCTGTCAGGCCTCTTGCATTGAAATAAATGCAGTTTAATTTATCAGTCCTACCATGTTCTCTGCTTTGTTCCTGCCTGCTCTGACTGTTTGACTTGCTCCTTTTCCTGACTGCACCAGTCTCAGACTGATCTCTTTCCTCACTGCCTCCCTGGTTCCAACCCCTTGCCCTTATTAGTTTAAATCTTCCCAAGCAAATCTAGCAAATCTTCCGCCAGTATGTTAGTCCCCTTTCCAATTCAGGTGCAATCCGTTCTTCTTATACAGGTCACATCTATCCCAGAAGAGATTTCAATGATCCAAAAATGTGAATCCTTCTCCCCTGCACCAGCTCCTCAGCCACATGTTCATCTGCTCTATCGTCCTATTCCTACTCTCGCTAACTCATGGCACTGGGAATAATTCAGATATTACTCCACTTGAGAACCTCCTTTTTACATTCCTGCCTAACTTCCTATATTCTCTTCTCAGCATTTTATCCTTTTCTCTTCCTATGTCATTAGTTCCAATGTGTACAACGACCGCCTGCTGGTCCCATTCCCCTTTGAGAATATTCTGCACCCTCTCCGAGATATCCTCAATCCTAGCTCCAGGGAGGCAACACGCCATTCTGATATCTCACTGTCAGCCGCAGAAACGTCCATCCGTGCCTCTGACTGGAGAATCCTCTGTCACAATCGATCGCTTGGAACCTGATGTACCCCTCGTTACATTAGAGCCAGTCTCGGTATCAGAAACCCGGCTGTTGGTGCTACATAGAAAGTTGATCACCCCTACATTTTCCAAAACTACATACTTGTTTGAGATGGGGATAGCAACAGGAGACTCCTGCACTATCTGCCTCTCCCTCCTACCATTCCTGGAAGTCACCCATCTATCTGACTGTATCTGTGGTTTATCTTCCTTCCTGCAACTACCATCCATCACACCCCTCAGCTCCTGTAAATTCCTCATTGCCTCTAACTGCTGCTCCAATTAATCCATGTGATCCAATAGGATTCGCAACCAAACACACTTCCTGCAGACATAATCATCAGTAACAGGGAAACTCTCCCTAATCTTCCACATCCAACAGGAAGAATACTAAAGGCCATCTTTGCACCTTAACAATCTACAGACCCAGAAAAAACTTACTGCTCTAAAAACCACTGCTCCAGGCTAACTTAGTACCTATGACTTCATATTTTTAAAGCTTAATCAAGAGACAGATCTCAGTAAAAACATATAATCAAAAAGAACCCCGCTCTACTCACAATTGTAGATTGACAAAAAAGAACAGTAAGGTTATACTTAAAACTAGCTACTTAGCTGTTCCCCTGCTGTGAGCTCCCCCATATAGGTTTCTCCAAGGTCAGCAGTGAATTTCGCTGTTTGTTAATTCTTAGGCAAAATCCGATGTCCAAAGGTGCTTGAAACTAAACAGCAGAGGCAGTTAGCTGTGCAGGTTATTGCTGAGTCAGACAGCCGTGTGGGTTTATTTCTCTGTTTGAATCACTTCCCAAGTGGTCACTGCCTTTGTTCTCTTCCTCCTTTTAGAAGAGCCGTTGTTTTGATCTTTTCTTCCCCCAAAGTTCCAAAACAATGCAACAACTTATAAAACAGTTATTACTGCTCCTAAAATTCAAGGAAATCAGCTTCAACACTGAAAAAAATCTCAAAAAAGGAACAGCTCTTACAATCACAATTTTTTCTCATCCTCCATCTTGGATTACCCAGAATTATGATTGTTATATAGAACAAAAGAGATTTTCTCCAGGTTTATTTAATAAGCTCAGAAATAAATTCATTTAATAAACTCATTTATTAAAAAGAAGTATTCTTTAACCAATTTGTTAGCACTTAGCTACTATTCAGAATTAAACTTAATCCTAAATATATACATTCACATATGATAAGAAAATAATGCAGCTCTGTAGAGATTTTATGGGTTTTAACGAAAGGGCTAATGTCTTCCCATTTACAATCACATGTCAAAGAATTAAAAAAAGAAAGACTTCTCATGACCCAGTCAACTTCCTCTTATCTTAGTCGCAATGCTGACTTGCAGGATTTAAATGTTGTTCAAATCAGGCTTCAGCTCAGGTGGAGTTAGTTATAAATCCAGATATTTGACTTTACCAGATGCTTACAATATTTTAAACAAAAGAGATCTTTGGAACTGTTGCTGCTTTTGATTTTCTGCTATTTTCCAGAAGCATTAGAAACCAACATCTCCAGCCTGGAGTCTTTCTTCAACTGTTCCAACACAATTCACTGGAAAACACAGAAACTGTAGTCCAGAAGCTGTTGCTAGGTAAGCTTCTGCACAGGGCTCCTTCCATCAGTCTGTTTAGCATTTAAATTAATAAAACCTGTCTTACCTCTCATAAAAGCTCTGCTTCTCCAAAGTCACTTGATGTTTTGTAAACAGAAAATGAACTAAGTTCTCGTTGACCTTTATGACATTTCAGTTTCAACAAATCACATGATAAAACATCTTCAACCAGATATATCAAAACAGTTCCATATTCAGTTCCTCATTGTCTGTAAATATATATGTATTTCTAACACTTTCCTAGTCCAGAAATACCAATGATATTTGTAATATCTCCATCACCAAATCCTTTTGCACATGCTAATTTATTATCATACATTCCATTCGCACACACTAGCCTATTACCATTGGGTGGACTAGAGATTAAGGTTAATGGGACAAATATGAAGAAGTAATGTTGAATTATAGATCAGCCTTGATTTAATTGATTAGGAATAACAGATTCAATAATCTAGATAACACAGTGTGGAGCTGGATGAACACAGCAGGCCAGGCAGCTTCAGAGGAGCAGGAAAGCTGATGATTCGGGTCAGGAGCCTTCTTCAGAAAGTATTTGACTGGCTTACTATTACTCCTAAAACTCTGCAAAGTGTTGTCATTAAACTGAGATTTAAAAACAATGGTTGAAAAAGTGAAATCACTTACTTGGACACTCTTCTTGTCTTTTGCTGCAGCTGCTTCTCTGCGTCATTCAGAGGCTGGATCTTTCGGTTGTTTAATGAAATGCACTTGGGAGACAGCGTTGCAAAGACTGGCGAATTCGAACATCCCCGTTTCAAAAACTTGCTGAAGGATAGAGTCACTTTGGCTTTCTGAGAACGTATGGTTTCCATGGACGCTGGTGGCTGGTAGCAGGTGCTCGATTCAGACTCAACAGACAACTCAGTATTTTCAGCAACTGGGGAAAATTGATTAGAGATTGAGTGATTGTGCTGCCATTTTCTTTCCATTGCTGGAGTACTGTCTAGTGCGACACTGATCGGCGAGGGGCAGAAGGCACTATTTGTGACTGGAATGTATTTGGGGGTGCAGAAGGGCAGATCAGCGTTGGCAGGATTGGATAAGGATGGATTTGGGGAACAAGGTGAGATACATAGGCCTGTGTACACCGTCAGGTGGGGAACAGGTGCAGTAAACCTACATATCTATGAAAAGATAAGAAAAAAGTATTTAGAACACAAGAACATAATAAAAGAAGCAGCAATAGTCTATTCGGCCCCTCCAACCTGCGCAGCCATTCAGTAAGGTCAGGGAAATATATACTGATCTCAGACTTGAATTTACTCAACAACTGAGCATCTCCGGTGCTGGTGGTAATTATTTTCTGGTTACCATCAGCTCAACCCTTTCAACGCAAAAAAAGGGACTCTGACAGACACAAGGATTATGTTGAAACTATTAAGGAGAATTTAGAGAATACTGCATTTGATCACACAATTGATGCTTTTTTTCTGTGTATCATGTAAGTTAAACAAGAGAAGCCAAATTTTATTAGGAATTATGACATTGCAGACATAGATTTCCCTTCATTTGTTGGGGGAGTTGTCGGTGCTTGAGCTCTAAATGTTTTTAGAAGTTGATCACAGGGAGGTGTTGCTCCTGGTGTACTCTGTAGTGCTTTTCAATTCCTGTTGTCATGAGGGGCATAGATGGGATGAATGTATGTAGTCTTTTTTCCCAGGGATGGGAAATTGTGACCATGCTTTGTGTAGGAATCATTGGGCGGCACAGTGGCTCAGTGGTTAGCACTGCTGCCTCACAGTGCCAGGAACCTGGGTTCAATACAGGGGAGATGTCAGAGGTAGGTTCGTTGCACAGAGAGTGGCGGGTGTGTGGAAGGCGCTGCCAGCACTGATAGTGGAGTCAGATACATTAGGGACATTTAAGCAACTCTTAGATAGGCACATGGATGATAGTAAAATGTAGGGTATGCAGGATATTTGATCTTAAAGTAGGATAATAGGCCGGCACAACATCATGGGCCGAAGGGCCTGTACTGTGCTGTTACTGTTCTATGTTCTACGTTCAATTCTCAGCCTCGGGTGACTGCCTGTGTGGAGTTTGCACGTTCTTCCTCCATCTGTGTGGGTTTCCTCCGGGTGCTTTGGTTTCCTCCCACACTCTAAAGCTGTGCAGGTTAAGGTGGATTGGCCATACTAAATTACCCAGAGTATGCAGGCTAGGTGCATTAGCCATGGGAAATGCAGGGTTACAGGGAAAAGGTAGGGGGATGTGTCTGGGTGAGATGCTGTTCAGAGGATCATTGTGGACTTATTGGACAAATGACCTGTTTCCGCGCTGTAGGGATTCTATAGAAATGTGTTGGGTTGCTAAATCTACATCCATGTTGTTATTTTGCTTTGCTATATCCTTCTGATCTCTAAATTCTGTAAAAGATGCTGTAGCAGCTGCTTGCACAGCACAGAAGAACAGTTATAGAGCGGGAGGACATTTGTCCATCAAAATTAGGAGGTATAATTGATTGTGAGGAAGGTTATCAAAAATTACAGAGGGATCTTCAAGAGATGGGGAAGTGGGCTGAGGACTGGCAAATGTACTTCAATTCAGATAAGTGTGAGGTGTTGCATTTTGGAAAGTCAAACCAAGATAGGACTTAGACAATAAATGGTAAGGTCCTGAGGAGCGTTGTGGTACCGAGGGACCTAGAAGTACAAGTACATAGTTCGTTGAAAACAGCATCACAGGTAGACAGGATGGCGAAGAAGGCATTTAGCATGCTGGCCTTCATCGGTTGAGGCATTGAGTATAGGAGTTGGGACGTTATGTTACAGTTGTATAAGTCATTGGTGAGGCCGCACTTGGAGGATTGTGTAGTTTTGGTCACCCTGTTATAGGAAAGACATAGTTAAACTGGTCAGTGTGCAAAGAAGATTTATGAGGATGTTGCCAGGACTAGTAGGCCTGAGTTATAGGGAGAGGTTCACCAGGACAGGACTTTATTCCTTGGAAGGTAGGAGAATGAGGGGTGACCTTTATTGAGGTGTATAAAATCATGAGGGGTATAGATAGGATGAATGCATATAGTCTTTTTCTGAGGGATGGGGAATTGAAAACTGGAGGGCATAGGTTTAAAGTGAGAGGGGGAAGATTTAAGAAGGACCTGAGGGGTAACTTCTTCACGCAGAGAGTGGTGCATATATGGAATGGGCTGTCAGAGAAAGTGGTTGAGGCAGTTTCAATAGCAACATCTAAAAAACATTTGGATAGGTACATGGATGGGAAGGGTTTAGCGGGTTATGGACCACATGCGGGCAATTAGAACTAGCTGAGTGGGCACCATGGTCAGCATGGACCAGTTTGGGCCTAAGGGCCTGTTTCTATGCTGTATTACTCTATGACTCTTTTGTGTATGCCATTTCTCTATAAGAGCAACTCACTTAGTCCCTCTTCCTCATCTTTTTCCCATTACCCTGCAAACAATTTCCCTGCAAACAGCTATCGAATCCTGTATGAACTGATTCACTTCATATGCTTCCTTTGTGGGCATTCTGAGTAATATCAATTTTTTCCTCTATAAATGGAAGATCTAGCTATGATAAGATCAGAAACAGAGAGTACTTTTTATGAACACTAAATGCTTCAAAAATTCAGTGCAAATATGACCCAGCGTGAGCTCAAGAGAGATGATTGACAAGCAGTAGCTGTGTACTTTATTGTATAAAAGGCACTAACTGCTGACAGACAATTGTGTGTCTCATCAGGAGATGTACCTGGTCAGAAATCCAATGAAAGTTGGAAATGGGGAGAAATATATAATGAGCTGCTGCTTCACTGTCACTCATTCCTCACTATCATATAAAATCTGATTCCCAAAGGGAAATGAGCTCTATTGACATATAGTTCCAATGCCAGACTAAGTGAAAAGGAGGGAAACAAAATGGATTTGAATGTTGGTTTCTAACATTCAAAATAATTACAGCATCCTTCTGGACTATTTATATAATATATAACCCTTTGTAGTGTTAATCTACCAAAACTGATCAGTAAATAGTTATTAGTAAGTGATCCAAAGCTTGTAAATCAGAGAGAACTCAAACATCATAACCTACCCAGAGTATATGAAAGGATTATGAACCCCTAGACAGAATTGTTACTACGCACCCAGTGTCGATGTGTGTTGTCAATAATTAGCTACTAATTTGCTATTATTTGAAATCACACCAGAGCAAAGCAGTGGTCAGGTTCATGAAGAATAGTTGGAGTGGGGAGGGTGGGGGTCATTGGGGTGAAGGACTTGGAGGAAGTTCTGAAGAGGATTAAGGAGATTGAGTGGCAGATGGGGAAGCTGAGGAGGAGTGGGGAAGTTGAAGACTGCTAGGGGTTCAGGAGGAGTGAGGAGCATTGGGAGTTGAGGAGAAATGGGGAAGTTGAGGAGCTTTGGGGGAGCAGCGGAGAAGTTAGAATGATGAGGAGGAGTGGGGTACTTGGGGAATTTTGGAGTGAGTTGAGGAGCATGCAGATGTTGAGGAGGAGTGGGAGGTTGAGGAGGAGTGGGAGGTTGAGGAACATGGGGAATTTGTGGAAATTGAGGAGCATTGGGGAGTTGAGGATTGGGAGGTTGAGGAGGACTGGGGAAGTTGAGGACCTTTGGGGGGTTGAGGAGGAGTTGGAGGTTGAGGAGAGGAGTGGGAGGTTGAGGAACATGTGGAAGTTGAGGAGCATAGGGATATAGAGGAGGAGTGGGAGGTTGAGGGGGGTGGGGATGTTGAAGATGAATGGAAGGTTGAGGAGCATTGGGGAGTTGAGGAAGAGTTGGAGGTTGAGGAGGAGTGGGAGGTTGAAACGTGGTGAGGACAAGGAGGAGTTGAGACATTGAAGAATGGGGAGGTCAAGGAACTGTAGGGGTTTTAGTTTTGTGATGAAAAATTGTAAGGCTTTATTCGCAGCAACATAAAAACCAAAACTAGCTGCAAGAGTGGGCCATTTGGCCCATCAAGCCTGTTCTACCATTCAATATTTTTAGGACTGAGCTGCGGAGAAATTTATTCACCCAGAATATGGTGGACAGAGTTGAATGATCTTATTGAATGCAAAGTAGGTTTGAAAGGCCCAAATGGCCTACTCCTGCTTCTATTTTCTGTCTTTTTCTGTCAAATGATCATGGCTAATCCTCCATCTCAATGCCATATTCCTGCTTTCTCCCCAAACCCCTTAAAATTTAAAAAATTGATCTTTCTCTTGAAGGTATTTAGTAACTTGGCCTCCACAGTCTGCTGTGACAGAGAATTCCACAGGCTCACCAGCCTGTGAGTAAAGAAATTTCTTCTCACCTCAGTCCCAAACAGTTTATGTTGTATCCTGAGAATGTGTTGTCTGGTTCTAGACTCGCAACTAGTGAAAATATCCACCCTGCATCTGGTCTGTCCAGCCCTTTTAGAATTGTATACGTTATGGTCAGATCCCCTCTCATCCTTCCAAACTTTAGTGAATACAGGCAGAGTCGAACCAATCTCTCCTCATAGAGCAGTCGAGCCATCTCCAGTATCAGTCTAGTGAACCTTCACCGTACTCCCTGCGTGGAAAGTATATCCTTCCTTATATACGAAGACCAAAGCTATGTGCAATACTCCAAGTGTGGTCTCACCAAAGCCCTGTATATTGCAGTAAGACATCCCTACTTCTGAACTCAAATATTCTTGCAATGAAGGCCAATATACCATTTGTCTTCCTAATTGCTTGCTGTACATGCCTGTCAATGTTCATTGACTTGTTACAAGGACACCCAGATCCCTTCGTACATTTACATTTCCCAATTTAAATAATACTCCACTTTTCTATTTTTCTACACCGAAGAGTATAACTTCACATTTAGTCACATTGTACTGTATCTGCCATGTGTGTGCTCACTCAGTCAACTTCTTTACATCACCTTGAAGTCTCCTTGCATCCTCGTCACAATTCATAGTCCCACCCTATTTGTGTTGTCAGTAAACTTGGAAATGTTGCATTTGATTCCCTTATCCCGGCCACTTTATATATCATATCATGAATAACTGAGGCCCAAGCACTGATCCTTGTTGTACTCCTGCTATTCTCAGTCTCTGCTTCCCATCTATCAACTCATGCCAATATATTGCCCCTATCCCATATACTTTTGTTTTGCCCATTAACCTCCTATCTGGAA